ATGGACAAAGACCCAACTGGGCCTGCAATGACTTTTGCTAACAGCATGTGGCTGTGAAAGTTAAGTAATTATTATTAATTGTGGCAATATGAGCCTTGTTCCATAGGTGTCACATTCGGGCATGTTATTGTTACATAAGCTGAATGTCTTCATGAAACCTTCTTGATAAATGTTCGGTTTAATCCATTTCCAGGCTTTGAATTTCACCCATGAGGCTTGTTTCCTCCACAAACTTTCTCGTTCGATGCTAACCAATGGGGTTTGCATGCACAACAGTGACTGAAATATGGTACTTAAGAACACGTGTGTTTATCAATGCTCCTCGCAATAAGCAAACACAACATTTATTTAAATCTTTTTTAAAATTTTCTGTGAATATGCCATAGATCATTGCATTTTAACGCATCTAGGATTGAACTCGATGGGGGTAAAAAACATTAAAGTTTTTCCCCATAAAAGGACGATCAACTGCAGATTTTTTTTGTTCGAAAATGCAGCCATAAAACCCAACTCTCACTTGCATAAAACAGGCCTGCTCTGCGATATAATGCAAAACCACCTACCGCATCCCTGGCATGACATCCAAGAACACCTTCTTGTACGCGTGATAATATTCGCCAATTGTTTTGGGAAACCTAAGCAGCAAAATATGGGTTTAAAAAAAAAAAACCCACATTGGCGTTACCCAAAGGATGTTTTGCGTTTGCGGAAACATCAAAACCGCGAGCTTTTTTTGCTCGTTAGATAACCGAGAGAACATTTTTTTCCCCCTACAGTTGGTCTGTGTGAGACATTTATTCGTCTCATGTAGTCGTGAGCTACATTGGCGTTTTATAGTTTTTTTCACAGCATACGCGGCAGAAAGGGAAAACACTCGAGCATCTGGCGAAGTGAACTTCCTGAGATATAAGTCACACACATCAACGTCCAATGACTTGGAGAGAGGAACGCCCGCCCACTGCACATGTGCAGCGCCGATGCAAAAATTAATTTGGTTAGTGGGAAGACACATTGGAATGAAAACTAACACAGAGCGATACACACACACACACACATATAGACTACGCGTGCTTCCATTCTTACTAATTTTATAGAACACAGATTAATGACCTGGGAAATTGGTAATGAATGCGCCCGGCATCAATATTGTTAGTTTAGCTACAAAGTTCATATTCATAAAAAAAAAGACAATGACAAATGAGGTCAGGAATTACGATCAATGTCAGATGCTCCATTCGCTTATTAACTCCAACGCTCTGCAATCGTAGTGTTTTGTTCATACAGTAAAGCCGCGTTTGATTGGGATTCGCTGACAGGTCCACGGGGAGACATTCGAAGCCACTCAGCAGTAAAGAAAACAAAAATTGTTTGGTGTTGAAACAAAACCTTCGAACTTGAGATGCAAAAAGGTAGCGGTCTTTACGGTATGGTGTCCACTAAAACCCAATGCAAAACACAACCAAGGAGTAAATTGCCACTTCCATTGGGCATGCGTGGTTGGATTTCAGAATGTGGGTCTACACAGCTGGCTAAAAAAAATCTCTTCCTTTTGTTCACTTGACTAAAGCACGCACTACTCGTGTCAGCACCTTTGTGCAATATCGAGGTAATCTCACGACCGTGACCAAAAAGCCGCCCTGATCCCTAATCACATTTTCATCGCCTCTTCTTAATCCCAACCAAAAACAAAGTGGCAAAAGAATAACGAGGGGGTTAAATGTGGGCCCTCTTGCATGAGCCCTGCCATAGCCACCCACGCGCGGGCTAGGTTTTGGCGGCGAGAGGTGGGAAGATTGCATTGAATTTAAAATGTAGAATGTTATTGGCCAAAATTCCTCCTGTTTGGAGAGAAACAGAAATGCCTCACGCGCAATGACAATTTTTTGTGCATTCATGTCAAGTCTTGCAGTTTTTTCTTTCCTCCTTTGCAATCTGTTGTATTCAGCAGGGATTTTTTTACATCAATTTTCTGTAACGTACTGCAATACATACAGCCATTTATCAGCCAAACAGTCCTCCGCGTTCTTATGGGTGTTGCAATTTTAAAATAATATACTGTAACAAATGGTCGGTCGAGAAAAAAACGGCCGAGATGCCAAGATTATGCCTTAGTCCACACAAATACCAAGACAGAGATCCCCCGTATAGCCTTTAACAGACTGGTGGGAAAAGTGCTGTTCGCGAGCATCTCTGAAGGCCGGCACGGCACACGAGGGAGTGGTGAGGCGAACACCACGCTCAGCCGCCTTTGTCTCCCCGGAGGTGACGTTTACACACCGTACCAGTGGAGGCTCAGAACCAGCTCAGCTATTCGGCACTGATGTTGGTCATAATCAGGATTTGAATTCGGGTGGCCGGGTTTGTAGCATAGTGTGCTAACCACTGTACTTCCATTCCACACACGACACACAGAAACATTTCAATTTGCACGAAATGTGAAATATGCACTATTAACGGAATGCATCCCAGACAGTAGTAAATGCGCTATGCTGCCTCATTATCTTGGAAGATAAGTGGCTATTAGATCAATTTGAATGAAGGAGCTGAAGAGAGCTGAGCACAGGTTTTTGACTTGCTAGAGTGCTCAGACCAAGGGTCAAGGAGCGGCCACTGATGTGGAAGAAAACAAGATGAGGGTATTGTCCATCACTGTTCATAGTCCCATGAACTCTGACCTTCCCGAGTTGCGTGCTTAAAAAAACGACAAAGGTCTGCGGCGTGCCCGAATAAAAAGGCAAAGAAAGTGTAACGAAAAATGTGACATGCATCGTCCGTTAGAGGGTTAAAAGAGCCCTTGAACCAGCTGTTTCAGTTGGACTCATGAATCCCGATATGTGGAGATGTAAGTTGATATATTATGTTCAAATCAGCTTCACAAACACGGAAATGTTTTATTGTATTGCTAAATTTAAATGAAGCGCCCTATTTTCACCCATTTTATATTTTGAAGGTTTCCTAAACGAAACTAATCATATTCAATTTCTACTATAAAGCAACTTCCACGACTCGCATACCCAGTAAACCTGGGTGCAATTTTGTGACCATTTTATGTACACAAATGCTGAATAATTAGTGATACACAGTACACATAGGTATGCGGAATTATACGCAGATACGTCAGAATCCTCCGTTTAAAGTGCACACTGCAGAATGCTGAGAGTGGGCTTGGGCAGGACACATCGCTGGAAGGGATGAAGGCAGGCGGACAAGAGTAACATAGGAGTGGCAGTTAAAGACGGGAACATTCTAGATTTGAAGCTTTCGTGACTGCAAGGATTCATACTCTTAGTTTTTTCGGTAAAGTCACGTAGGTAAAAAATGAAATTAATTATTATTATTATGAAATTTTTATTATTTTATTTTCATTAATTTTAATTTCATTTTTTACAGACGGGAACATGCACGATAGGATGTCCACCATGGAAATAGAGTGATGACATCAACCCGTGTGGAGGTGCAAGACCTATGTCTAAAGTGTAAGATAGTAAGATGGTTTTGGAAGGCCTTGCTCCAACAGTGGATTGATCATGGCTGCTGATGATAACGATGAGTATTTTATAGACAACGATTATGTGCACATTTTAAAACCACGTAACAAATAGTATTGCACATACATAGAATGTTGACCATTGTGGAGCAGTAACACATTAATATTCCACCAGGATTACTAGGGATACATTTATATACACAGAAGGCACTCTTGGTTGAGCCCTGTCGAGCCTAATGCACACCAGAAAGTCCGAGTAGTCTTGTTTCATTGTTTAAAACAAGAAAATAAACGGCTCAACACAATGTACATGTCAGACAGCTCAACAGATGTGGCTTGAGACCGTCTATAAATGATGGCTGGTAGGCGGTTTGGATTCCCCGGGAGTATAGTTTCATGGCAAAGTAGATATTTAAGCCGTTTAAAAAGTGGTATAATCGGGGAGGGATGCTGCGGTTGGGTTGGGGAAAGATGGGGGGAGGGTGTGTGGGCAGATGCCGTATCTTCGCACACAATGGTACTCCCATCTGCTTCAATGCCTCAGAAAGAAAATGCCCTTTGTGGGTTGCATGGAAGCTAGCCGGGGGAGCACAGGTGTAGAACATTTGTTTGGAATGCCGTATTTTATGCAGAGGGTGAAAGAGGGGGTTAACACATTTCCCTCTTACCTCTCACCCTCACCTCGTGCCCCACTCCTGCCCACATCATTTGGAGGCAGGTTAATTTAAATGGAGTTTGAGTGAAATGTCACCCAAAATTAGCCATTTCAACTGTAATACGTTCAATGGATAAACGGTTTGAGAACTATAAATGATCATGCACTTTCTTTTTGCTTTATACAGCTGTTACATAACCAGAAGCTTGAATCCATGAAATAGTGGACTTTGATCACTTAGCCTCAATGAAAATAAACCAAAGAACATTTAATTGCTTGGTAATTATGTTTTCTTTGTCCTTTTGTTAACAGAGGTCTAAATATATATACGATGTACTCTATTGTAATGCCACAGTTTGCTCTATTTTTTCTAGTACATATTAACCTTCTGCATAAATAATATAATTCTGCAGTCGATGTTCCCTCTGCGTTGTTACTGCCTGTGCTACAACAATAATCGCCGCGTTTCCATAGCCCATCTAACTTTAACATTCCCCTTAAATAACGTGGAAGAATATTCAAATTGGCTCACGTTTCGGAAACAATCCCAGTAACAAAACGGTATTCAATATTTAGGTTAAGAAAATTATGCTTAGACCAGTCAGTGTAAAAATTTCCATCTCAAACAAAAGTATGATTAATGAGACAAAAAAATGTTTTAAAGCACATTTAAAGAACAAATATTTTTTCTTCCCAGCAGCAAGAATGGTGAAATAGTAAGGTTAGTAGCCACACTGTGCAAGTAACTGGACTGAGACCGATATGACAATAGTGGCAACAATAGATTGGGAAAGAGACACGTAAAAAAGGTGTATTATGCTTGCATTTCAATGTTCGCACGTCACACCTGAACCTTACCTGTGGCGTTGCAAAGGTGAACAAGCAAAGCAGCGGTATCAGCCCATCCATGGCTAGAGGAGGTTCGCATAAGCACACAAGAGCCACCTGTCCATTCCACACCCTTTACACCTGCACGCCACCGCAACACAAACAGCGTTTACAATCGTCGAGCAAACCCCCGTCATTACAGACGCGGCGACTGACTCCGATGCAAATCTAGCCGCTAGGCAAGCATACAAATTGGGTCGGGTGGGGACACAAATAAAGTGGCTCGCGGGACCAACCAAACGTGGTGAGACTTTTACACTAAAACTCGCACACAAACGGTGTCAATTAAAAGCACGCGTCTTTGTTCACATATAACCAAAATTTCCACAACACCGGTAGATTTCAAAAGAGGGACAGAAAGAGAGTGCGGGAGAAACTCACTCCAAAACTGCACATATTTATGAAAATTAACTACAAGAAATAAAAATATACAAAGCATATATTTTTTTTGGTAAAAACACACGCAGGGCTTAACAATGCTTTGTACTCAAGCCAGCAAAAAAAAACTTACAATTAATTCCTCCTCCTCCTCCTCGTGGTGTTCAGCGTGTCCTGCGCGGACTGGTAACCCGGCCCAGGACTGGTGTCATATGGTACACGACTGGGAGACGTCTCTTCTGTAAATCAGGCAGGTATCAAGTAAGGGCTGGGTTGTCCCCCTTGATAGAGGAGGAGACAATACCCGCCTCTATGTATTGTGTCTCCCTGCAAGCCCTGCCCCGGGTGAGAGCAGCACCAGCAAGAGAGAAGAGATCCTCCCCGCTGGGATGCTGCTGCTGCTGCTGCAAGCTGCGCGTGGTTGAGGGAGTGCAACGGGGCAGTGCGCGGTGTCGTTTCCTGCGCACTCAAAAATGGTTTAGCGGTTGTGGCTCTTTTGCGCAGTCGGGTTTCCGCGTTTTATTTAGCTTCGCTTGCCCCTACCCCTCTTGTCCTAAACCTCCCCCCCATCTCCCTCCCTCCTATCCTCCCATCCCACGCCTCCAACCAACCAACCCCCACCCACCCATCCACCACCACCCCCCACCAGGTCCATCTACCGGCCCGGAGGAATGACATACTGACGCTGCGCAAGCGATTGGTGGGTGAGACTGAACTGCAACGTGAAGAGTGTGGTTTGTCTTGTTGGGGGGTGGGGTGCGTGGGTGGGTGGGTGGGTAGGTCGAGCGAGCGAGCGAGAGGGGGACAGGCAAAGGGGATATGGAGCCCCGCCTCGCCGGGGGCTCGGGAGGGGCCCAGAGGGCACGCGTGTGACCGTGACTCGAGTCACGGCAACTGAACACGGAGCCAGCGCGAGAGAGAGAGGCGCGTAAGAGGCGCGCTCACCTCTGCACCGCAGGGCTTCCCTCAAAAGACTCCGCCAATCCCACCGTTTGCCAGTGGTTTTTTTGTTGTTGTTGCTTTCAAGGCTAATTCATTCTCGCTCGCATTCTCTCTCTCTCTCTGTTTTCTGGTTGTGGTTTTTTTGTTTGTGTGTTTGATGTACGACGTTTCACTCCGCGTGCTGGGTGGGAGCTTCTCCGGGAACTCCACGTGCCGGGGGAGAGCGAAACGTCGGTCATCGTGCCCGAACACCGCGTGTTACATTGCACAACCGCGAAAAAAAACCCTATCCGGCAGTACCACTGGTTACACACGCGCTACGCGCCCGATGATTGGTAAACACGTGTACCTAATTGTGCGCGTGTGCTGCATATGGAACCGCAGTGTATTTAATCGTGGGGTGCTTCGGGCATGCCAACCCGAGTTCGATTCCCGCTCCCGGCCAATTACATTGGCGGGTATGTAAACATCGTCACTGGGGAGACAAAGGCGGCCGAGCGCTGTCGCCGGCTTCAATTCGCGGCCCTTGCGTGGGCCGTCCCGGCCGTAGCAATAGGTGCTCGCAAACAACACTTGCCCCGTCAGTCTTTGAAAGGCTGCACAGGTGAATGGTTCGCCTTTGTCCGGCGCGATGTTTTGAGAGCGCCGATTAAAAAATGCAACACCCGAGATGATGGTGCGCGCGTGTGCTTTACGTGCGTGGGTCCCGCGTGACTTGTTTACCAACCATCGGGCGTGCCGAGCGTGTTTACGACCCTCGTTTTACATGTTAACTGGGCGGACGTAAACGTGGACAGGCGGACCCTGCACCCCGCGTCTAAACGCACGTGAGCGATGGATCTTTAGCGCCGGTGATAACGGCATTTTGGAGGCGAGGGTTGACGGATCACGCACAAGCTTTGTGATACTCAACAAACCCCTCCCCCCCCCCCCCGGGGCTAACACGTGGCCAAGGGAAAGCAAGTGGATTCGTGAACCCATCTGTGCGGATCTTTTAGTGGTTTTTCTTTAATCGGTTTTCACCGGTATTGCTGGTTGCCTCTCATACGCTATACACTCTTTTCAAAAATATGAAATTTCCCAAACCTGCTGGTTGCAGGATCCTCGTCAAAATGGGTCTTGAGACTCGGGGAGCCGTTCCTTAAACGCGTTACATATTATTATTGTCAACTGGCATAGACTGTATTGTTTATAAAGGCGCCTACGAAGAAGATATTCCCAGGACGGAAAGTCAACCAACGACAATCACCGAGTCCAATCATTATCGTCAGCCATGCTCAATCCACTGCTGGATGAAGGCCTATGCCAAAACGTTGGCATCCCTCACGAACCTGCTATGTACAGGACTAACGAGGCAAAGATCCCCCGTATAGCCTTAACAGACATTTTGGGGCGAGTGCTGTTAGCGAGCACCTATCAAGGCCGACACGGCACACGCGGGAGGGGTCGCTTGGCCAGCACCACGCCCGGCCGCCTTTGTCTCCCTCGTGGCAATGTCTCGCGCATCGCACCAGGCATTGATTTTGGGCCGAGTCCACCTAGGGAAGTACGAACAATCCACCCAGCACCTCCACACGAGCTGCTCCCATTACTCAATCTCACAGGACTGTGGTTAATGTTGACCAAATGCTGTCATTCCGCTAAATTGACTTAAAATCGCAACTCCAAAGTGTACATTTTTCCTCGGCAGCGCCAAAGTCTGCCAACCGATGTATTTGACCCTCTCACTTCCTGGGGCCATTGCGACATCCACGAGATCAATTGTCAACAGAGGAGTGCATTAGAGGTCATTTCTATGGAAATAGCAGCTTGCACACAGGCGCGCACGTGACCAACACAAATGTTTATGATTAGCACTCGGCAATTATAGCGGTTTTTGTTAATCAGCTTTTTTAAACAACATTCTTTTTAGTGGACGTGTGGTTGGAGTATAGCGGGCCGGCAAATAGAACGCACCTGCACTTGCAATTAACATCGGGGGTCGAGACTCTTCTATTTTCTAAATGGGCGCCACGGTGGCGAAATGTTAACTACCTCGTCCGGTATACGTGAGATCGTGGGTTCGATCCCGACCCTGACCCCTGCAGTCACTGGCGGAGCCAGTTGGGGTGGGGTGGCACGTGCCCCCCAATGATCCGATCGAAATCCCTAATTTCAGATAGTCTGAGTCCATAATTGGCAATAAGTAACGGTAAAGCAGTTATAAGTGACTCAGAATTGTGCACAGTTGCGTATTCAGTCCACGACTTCCCTGAAGGCATCAACACCTTCAGTGAGCGCGATGCCGATCACACAACGCGGTTCGAATTCGACCCTCGATCGATGGCTGCGCCATCGCCGCACACGAGTCGATTAAAAAGCAAGGGACAAGTCCTTACTTACTAACAACTCCTCTATCATTTTTCATTGCTGGAGGGGTTGCCCTCCCCTACCTGAAAACCCTGACTCCGCCGTTGCACCTGCTGCTGTATATTTGGGAGTCTGCGGTGTCTCTCTCCTCATGCTGGCGTGTATTTTTCTGCGGGTCCTCCGTTTTTTTTCTCTCTCCACATTTAAAAACGTGCGTTAAAGAGTATTTGGCTGCTATAAATTCCCACGTGACAAGCCACTTCGTTGAACTATCGTTTGTGGCCAGGTCGCTTCTGAAAAAGAGCAATACTGTCTAATCTCAGTGGGCCTTACCTGGTAAAATAAAAAAAAGTTAATAGGTCACACATGTCGCTCGAAAAGCATGGTGACCCGCGGTCAAGATTACCGACGGATTGGCAACCAAAGCATGCAATCCGCCTGGACAGGACATCCACCGAAGAGGGAGAGAAATGCAATCGGCTTGTGTGATGGAATGTTGCATCGACTGACCGTGGGTGGTGGCGACGGCTCCGGGGAGGTCCGGCAGTGCATACATCATAGCCGCTGCTGCTTGCTAATGATGAGTATGATGACAATGCCGATAGCAAAGTGTGTCTTAAATCAGGACAAGGTCAGGAAGGATCTACGTTCTGCAGCATACCTCAACAGATCATTCGCGTCTGGCGGGAGCGGTGTCGCTGCGGTCTGCGCACTCACCCCCCCCCCCCCCCTTACACACCTGATCACCTGAGTTCCATACCTAGTCACGGCTATCGCCAGTGGCGAGTGATAACTGAAGTGGTCCTGGGTGCCTTGCCTTCACTCACCTGCACTTAGCAACGCGAAGTTTGGTCAAACAAGTCCCATGGACTCGCACCTGCGACTGGCACGGTTGGCTACATACTGCGCGAAAGAAGTTTATACATACATACATACACTGCTTTGGCGGGCGTTTATCCAGCAGCGGATTGACAAGAAAGGGCTATACATTGTTGACGGAAAACAACTTTGAAGCGTTGTAAGGTGCTTTCTTTCTCGACAGGTCATCAGCCAAATATGGACATTCCACGTGCATTTGGCAGGACCAGTACGTTTATTAACTTCCCATCGAAGGTGCTCTCGCTCACCTGGTCGCCCGCGTACGGTGCGAAAGAAGTTTGACATATATCGTACACACGCTGAAGAAATCAGCTCGTGAGCAGGTGCAGGCGAATTGTTACATCGAGAGATGGCGACCACTCAGGGTGGGAGGCCTTCAGCCAGCAGTGGATTGATTATGACTGATGATGATGATGGAGGAATGACTGGCTGAATCAACTGTTGTCGGGATTTGAACTCTAGATCGTATTTATGATTGGGAGCTTTAATGATTAGCTCCACTAATTGAACTGGTATGCGGGCTATTAAACGTTACTGAGAGCCATTAGATAAATGTGCAATTAGAAATTACGCAATTAGTAACAAATACGCGTCGCACATTGCGATGAAGTGCAATTTATTAAGAATGTGTTTCGCTTCTGCTTCATTAACCAGCCCAGGGTGTTTAGTCCGTTACATCTTAATATGTTCGTATTCAAATGGTGAACGTTAGGGTTTGAAAACATTCGACGGCTTATGATCAAATCACCCGTGATGCCGGGCGATGGTGGCTATGCAACGTGGCTGTTAGCCAAGCACTGTGTGGAGGCAGCGACGGGAGTCGGCGGATCAAACACAAATGTTGTGATACCTCATACTCCTTGGTTCTTTCGGTAAAGTGACGTAGGTAGGAAAATAAAAAAATATATAATTTACTTTATTTTTCTATTATTTTTTTATAGAAAAATAAAGTAAATTATAGTATATAATAATTTACTTTATTTTTCTATAAAAAAATAAAAATAAAATAAATTATAGTATATAATAATTTACTTTAATAAAATAAATAATAATTCCTTTCATTTTACATTTATTTTATTTTTCTAGAAAAATAATATTAATATTATAGAAAAATTAATAAATAATACGTTATCATGGGACCTCCTTTGCCAGTACCAAAATATACTAATAGGGTTTTTCCCCTTTTTTCTGGCAACAAAACTGACACCTTTTGCAAGGAATCATGCTTACATTAACCACAATACTTGCAGTCAGCTTTATTTCAGAAAGCTATCTCTGGTGTGGACCAATCAGTTTCAAAGACAATGCATAAATTATCAGAGTGTGTTTTTTG